TGAAATTAGATTTTTTTGGACAGAAGTCTCAAGGATGAGTAGTTTGCCTGAGTTTATATAAGTAGTGAATGTTACAGTTGGGATTCAAACTCAACCCAGTCTAACACCAGAGTACCTGTGTCAGAAGCCCAGAAAACAAAAATGAGTCAACAGGTATAAAGCTACTAGAAGAAATGGTAAAAAGAATAACAATCCCTTTGCAGTAGAAATCCCTGGTGGAGCTCAAGCAAGAGTAAGATTTGAACAGACTTTTATTGATCATTTTACTAAAGGGTCATGACAGCAGCATGGAGTGACAGTAGAAAATTTTAACTTCTCCAAAATCTTCATCAATTTATCAAGCTTCTAACCTACACAAGGAAATTTGCTCTTTTTAGAAAGACCAAATGTGAATGGTTTCCTAGGGCAAATCTCTACAGTGATAGAAAACACATACAAAAGAAGTTGAAATAGAACAAGGAAAGAAACAGAGCAAAATTGTCAACAAAATGGCACAAAGGGCAAATGGCTCTTGTGTATGAAAAAGTCCAGGGTTTCATGACCCAGTAGTGGTGCCAAGGCCACCAGTATTTTTTCCAGCAATCATGGAAATAGGGAAAATGCGGAGGAACTGGAAAAAAGCAAATGCTATAAAACCGTTTTCAATAGAAGAATAAGAAGTTGATAATTACAAACCAATAAACAGGAGCATTTTCTTCTGGAAGATAAATAAAACAAACCATCAAACAACTAATTATCACCAAAAGGAACATGAAATATTATGTACAGAGAAAACAAACAGGGCTTCATGAAGTGTAAGTGTTAACAACTTCACTTAAATTAATTTTAAATGGGTCTTCCAGACACAAACAACTGTGTTTAGCCTGAATACACAGTGGCAGAGGAAATTTCTAAATTATCAGGGTGGTAAAGACTCACCCAGCCTGCCGTGATGGTTAGAAATTGGCCATTTATTTATTCATGCAGCCTCACAGTTGAAGCTTAGAGTTGGGAATCTTGCTTACTGATGGTGAAACAAAATCCAGGAGGGAGCACAAATGAAATCTCTTTGCTATGAAGATGTCTGTAGGTTACCAATTTTCTGAGTCTTATGACCCTCACTATAAAGTTTTCTTACTGTTGATTCTTATTTATAATATGCAATCCTCACCCAGAGAGTATGATAATATCAAATCTGAACATGACTAGTGTCCTAGTCTCTGGGGGCAATTATTAGTTTCATGTTATAAAAGATATTAGTCTAATATTCATTAGACTAATGAAAATGCTATCCAATACAAATTATCTCCCACCTGAGCTCCAACAAGGGCTATTTACAGTTCCAGCTCATTCAAATTCAAGTCTATCTAGAATCCACCCCCTTGTACATATGTGTATACTAATGCCTTTTAAATTCTTACATACAACATTCTTCATGACAAAATAAAGAGACTCAGGGAGGAGTGGGAGAAGATCAGTGATTCAAGGATAGCTTATTTCCAAAATCTTTAACTAAAATTAGCTCTCCTTGAAGAGATGTACAATACTCAGCCTGTAATTTTTGTGCATTTTCTAGAATGTTCTCCTGGGATGTGTGTATTTTCATTTGAAAAGCACAGTCTATATTTCACTATCTTCCCCCAGGAAGTTCCATTAAAGAAAACTTAGTGACATTTTACAGCCAGATAAACACATATACAGACAGAAAATAAATTATTTAAGTGCTTAGAGCTCTCAAGTAAATGATTACGATGAGTATTCAGGACTACTCATTCCTGTGTGGAGAAGTAAACCAGCTGTCATTTTACAGACACCTATAAAATTCACTCTGCCAATTGATGATCACAAAAAAGATGGTGAATATCCTTAAAATGTTTGCAACACCAGATGTAAGTCTAATCAGCATAGATGTCATTTGGCGAACATCAATCTGAAGAGCCTCTCACAGATCCTAAACTCACAAAGGTTTTTTTTCATTAATAAGTCATTTCTTTATTCAGATTTCTTCAGCTTTTGATCAATACAATTTTTCTTTTCCTCATTACTTATGCTTGTCATTTCTCCTTAGAGTCATCCTAGTTTGGCTTCTTCTTCTTCTTTTTTTTTTTTTTTTCAGAAGAATATAAATTCTTTAATGACTGTTACCAGGGTAAACTAGGAACACTGAGTCACTGCAGGCAAGGACCCAGAACATTAAGATGCAAACCCCTTATTTCAAACTTCTGAGCAATTAGCATAGAAGCAGGATAAGGACAGAAAATAGCTGTGTGGGGCCAACAAAGATTTCTCTTTGACTCGTAGGCCAAAAATTTTATTGTTTCACTCACAGTGATGCTAGGAGCTAAGGCCCAATCATAGGAAATGTTTTCAGTTAAGTCATGTTCACTTAAATTAACTGCTTAGTGAGTTATGTGCCATTCATTCTAAAGAATAAGTTGACACTCAAAACATAATCTTTTTTGTTTTATTTACCAAGTCCCAAGGAAAACAAATGTGTCAGGACTTTCAGTTAAAATTCTGGTAGGCAGGGCCAGTGCTGTGGTGTAGCAGGTAAAGGTGCTGCCTGCAGTGCAGGCATCCCATACGGGCACTCCCAGCTGCTCCACTTCCCATCCAGCTCTCTTCTACAGCCTGGGAAAGCAGTACAAGATGGCCCAAATGCTTGGGCCCCTGCACTCACGTAGGAGACCCGGAAGAAGCTCCTGGCTTCTGCCTTTGGATCCGTGCAGCTCCAGTCATTGCAGCCAATTGGGGAGTGAACCATCAGATGGAAGACCTCCCTCTCTCTGTCTTTCCTTCTCTCTCTGTGTAACTCTGACATTTGAATAAATAAATAAATCTTTGAAAAAATAAAATAAAATTCTGGTAGGCAAAGAAGACAGCCAGGTAAGAAGCATCTGCAGAGTGGTAGATGGGGTGGGGACATTCCTGATAGGGTATCACACACATACCAGATTGCCTCCTACTCTGAGACTCTCAGCTCTTAACAGTAAAACCCACAAATACGTGAATTAAAAAGACACTCCACAAATCACCACATCCCATTACATCACAGTTATACCATACACACTACAATAAAATCTCCACATATCGCCAGGTAATGAAATTCTCATTTCCATATCATTTATAGTTATTTTATAAAGATGTAGTGTAGCTCTTTTATTGCTGCTACATATTTAAGTGAAAGAATCTGAAAAATCACTGGGCAAACCCATTAAAACAACAGACAGATGATGTGAGTTCTCCTTCTGGTCTGTTACCCTGATCCTGGCAAGTTGCCTGACATTTATGCTGTGTCCTCATCTCTCAAAAGCAGGAGTTAGACTGGATGAGCCAATACATCATTCAAATTGAAAATTTATGTCAAGTAGCCTAAAGACTTACATGAATCTAAAATTTCAGTAAAAATCCTGTCCTATTTATCTTCATTGTCTATATATCCTGACATTTAGGATCAACCCAACATCACCAAAATGTTTGCTAAAGTTATGTCTCAGTTTCCACAACTTAATTTTTCCAATGAACCCTGTAATACCTGTCCATACTATAAACTGTGTAGATGAGAGCTAGTTTTGAACTTGATCACATCTCATGTGAAAAACAAAATTAAAATCCACAAAACTACAATTTAACTTTGGATTATTATAAATATTTGAAAATCGAATTGTATCTTCAGTAAACCAAGGGGAATTGAGCACTCATAGAATTAGACCCTTCCACGACTGCAGGTGAGCTGAGCAGCAACTGGAAGCACAAAAACATCTTGTGTGTACGACAGATTCAGATACGGTGTGGAGGACACAGCCCTGCTGGCTGCAAGCTGTATGTGATTCCCCAGCTGTGTATCATAAGAGGAAGTGGTGAGAAAAAAGAAACACATCAAGACAACTTTTCTGGGCCAGAATTGTGGGGCAGCAGCTCAAGCTGACACCTGCAACACTGGACCCCTTATGGGAGCACCAGCTCATGTCCCAGCTGCTCTGCTTCTGATCTAGCTCCCTGCCAACCCACCTGTGGAGGCACCAGAAGATGCCCCTAGTTCGTGGGCCCCTGCCACCCACGTGGAAGACCTGGATGGAGCTCTTCTCTCTTGGTTTTGGTCTGGCTTACAGGTATTTTGGTCTGGTTGCAGGTGTTTGGGGAGTGACCCAATGCATAAAAGATTTTTCTCTCCCTCTCTCACTGACACTCTGCCTTTCAAATAATAAACAAATCTTTTTTAAAAGTAACTTTTCTATCATTATCAAAAGGCTTCCAGAACTGGTTTTTCAGGACTAGGATATGAACAGAGGTTGATAATTGTTCCTATACATACTCATCGCTTTTTACATTAGAATTCAGAGAAGTTAGCCAATTGCCCACAAATTTCACTGGAGAAGCAGCACACCCTTCCTTCCCCACTTAATCCCACCTCCTTTTAATCCCACCCTCTCTGTTGCATTCATGCAAGAAATGGTGATTTTCTTATTTTGGGAAGATAGGGTGATAGAGAAATGGATTTGACTCTCTCTCTCTCTCTCTCTATCCCTCTCTCTCTCTCTCTCTCAGCAACTTACAATATTTTTAAGCAGCTGAGAAAAATATTACTTCTCTGTAAAAGAGGACACAATCTCTATCAAAGCATAGTTTATGAAAACAGGAAGATTCCTTTTTAAAAAATGTTGCTATAATCACTTGAGAAAACAGACAAATGACTGCTGATCCCTTGACATAAAGAATGAAAATCCTTCTGTCTGAGAGGATCCCGAAGCTGGCAGCTCCCTCGAAGAAACAGGGTAGGCTCTGGGTTCTGTGACACTGTATCATGCAATGGCCAAGAGAAAAGTCATGCAGTGTACAAGCACAGCACAGAGGTGCAGAGCGGCTGACAAGCACAACAGCCCACTGGAGGTAGTCAAAATTTAACAGGAAAAGAGAGGAAGCTCACAGTAAGTTCTTGTTGTAATCATTGCGAAGGAAAACAGAGAAAGCTATGCAGAAACAAACAAATAACTTATGTTTGCAAACAGAGTTCAACTTACCTCTGTTGGGCAGAAAACCAGGACTCTGACGAACCAGCCTGCGAGTGGGTGCCCAGGTAAATGGGACCCAAAAGAATGATACCTGGAGTTGCTCAGTGTGGTCTCAGCCTCTTCCTGACTGTTAATGAACAGGTCAGAGACTTCTCCCTCAGCGGCTGAGTCACTCAGGGAGGAGGTGGGTGGTATGAGAGAGGGTGTCACCGTGTACAAATACCAATCCAATTAAAACCATCTCACTCACTCACAGACCTATTCTCTCTGTTGGGTGAATTCTTCACATTGTTTATGACCATATGATGCCAAAAAAGTGCTCCTGTTGTTCCCTTTGAACTGATACCAACAACATGTACAACTATATCACTGACAAGGTGGCCTACTATCCGACCTATTTTGGGTTGCTTTTTAATAACAAAACAAAACAACCTGAAGTAGCAGGACTCTCTCCTGACCCACAGCACCTGGAAGGCAGAGCAGAGAGACACACACAGGAAGCACCTACCTGAAGTAAACAAGTTCCCTTAGGAAAGGGAAGTCCTCTGGAACCCAGAAACCCTGGGATGAGAAAATATGAAAGGAACCAGTTACACAATTTCTACACATGGAATATTTGGTAAAACCATCAAGAAAAAAAATCACCCCTTGAAAGGTAAGAATTCTGATCCTTACATTGTTTCTCCAGATATAAAAGTGAAAAGGATGGTTGAGGGCAGTAGTGGATTCCACCCTCCCTCTCAAAGGGTTAATGCAGAAGGGCCATGCTGGCTGGGAACCCCTGTCACAGGTTCTGAGATGCACCTTCCCTAACAGTCAGCAAGGCCTCAAGGAAGCTTAGCAAATTTGGAATATTGCAGGAGGAAGCTGGGTCATTAGCAGTTTCTGGGTCATCTTTATTCATTGCTTACACCAACAATTAGCCAAATCCTCCCCACAATGCTGCGCCTAAAAGCTAGTCCAGCTGAGCTACCTCCACAGAAATGATTAAAACAAGAAGTAGAAGCATCCAGATTGGAGGACTAGGAGTTACAGAGTGGACTGCAACTGGGAGATGACTGCCTTAATCTTTCCCGATTCTGGGCTCAAAAACTTGAAAATCTAAAGTGGAAGGTGCTTTTGCAAAGTAAAACATACACACTTGTCTAATTCAGTCCTTTTCATGGAATTTTATACACCAAAAGTTTTTAAAATGTTTTAAACTTCTGAGATGTCCACAAATGTTGTTTGTATTGAAATTGGATATTAATATTACAAATTGGAAAATTAAAAAACCTGTTGAAGTGAAATTGGACACTATGAGAAACAGTGACTTGATCAGCTCTTGTCCTGACTGTTGATGTACAATGTAATACTTTATCAATTTTAGTATTTTTGTTTTGTTTTGTTCTAGTACTATTGGCTGAACTCTGTAATTAAAACACAACTATTCTTAGGTGTTTAAATTTTAACTGAAAAGTGATCCCTGTTAAATATAAGAGTGGTAATAAGAGAGGGAGGAGATGTACAATTTGGGACATGCTCAATCAGACTTGCCCCAAATGGTGGAGTTAGAAACGTGCCAGGGGATTCCAATACAATCCCATCAAAGTGGCATGTACCAATGCCATCTCACTAGTCCAAGTGATCAATTTCAGTTCACAATTGATCACACTGATAGGTCTAAGAGTCAAAGGGATCACACAAACAAGACTAGTGTCTGCTAATACTAACTGATAGAATCAAAAAGGGAGAGAATGATCCATCATGGGAAGTGGGATACACAGCTGACTCATAGAATGGCCGATGTCATAAATAGCACTCTGGCCTCAGAATCAGCCCTTAAGGCATGCGGATCCGGCTGAAAAGCCCATGCGAGTATTTTAGGCATGGAAAGCCAAGACACTCTGGAAAAAAAAAAAAAAAAAGAAGACTTAAATGAAAGATCTTTGTGAGTGAGATACCAGTGGAAAGAACGGGGTCATCAAGGAAGGAGGTAGCTTTCTCTGAAGGGAGGAGAGAACTTCCACTTTGACTATGATCCTGTCAGAATAAGATCGAAGTTGGTGAACCCAAAAGGCTTCCATAGCCTTGGCAAATCATGACTAGAGCCTAGGGAGATTATTGATGCCATAAACAAGAGTGTCAAATTGTTAAGTCAACAACAGGAGTCACTGTGTACTTACTTCTCATGTGGGATCTGTCCTTAATGTGTTGTCCAATGTGAAGTAATGCTATAACTAGTACTGAAACAGTATTTTACACTTTGTGTTTCTGTGTGGGTGCAAACAGATGAAATCTTTACTTAATATATACTAAATTGATCTTCTGTATATAAAGAGAATTGAAAATGAATCTTGATATGAATGGAATGGGAGAGGGGGCGGGAGATGGGAGGGGTGCGAGTGGGAGGGAAATTATTTGGGGGGGAGCCATTGTAATCCATAAACTGTACTTTGGAAATTTATATTTACTAAATAAAAAAATAAAAATAAAAAAATGTGACTTGGCTCAACTTAAAAAAGGTAAACTGGAAATTATATCAGCATTAGGACTTAGTAAAAATGAAGGACTATAAACAGTTTAAGAGCTAATCTTGTAGAGATGAGTAGTAACTTACATTGGTAAATGTTTAAAAGTATGTATGCTCTTGTCCTTCATAAAACATGGAGCCAGAACACTGAGTTTTCACCTTACAAAAAAGTAAAATGCAGCTGCTCAAGCTACACTTAAGGCTTTTGATCTTCCGAGTAATTATTTCTGCATGTTGTTAAGGATTTGTCTTACTTCAGGAGCCAGGACATCAGTACCACCAAGCCAAACCAGTTGATCAAAAGTCAGAACTCCTCATGCTGAAAAACATTCAAGAAAAAATAGTGCCTAAAATTATGACTCTCAAAGTTGGAAGAGGTCAAATCCAGACTAGGTTTGGGTGTGGAGGTGGCCAAATAGGCTTGCCCTTGGTTTCACTCAGGTCTTGAACTGCAAAGCCTTGAGCATGCTTTGCATTGCTTGGCTCCACCACGCCTATTTCACTGTGAGTGGTGGAGTTCTTGAAGTCTTTCTAGAATCTAAGTTCACAGGCTAAGAAGGGTGAGTGGTTTTATCTCAAGTGCCAAGGCCAATAGGTTAATGGTGGCAACCTGGGGAGATGTGAGGTTTGTAATGCAAGTTTAGAACCATCAGGGGAGTGCTATTATTAATTATCAATTTCTACCTTGGGTCCCAGATTGGAGGAGTGTTTTTAGACCCTGTCACATAAAATTGAACATTGCAGTGTCATCTTGCTTTGACTAGGTGCTGCAATCCAAAGAAAAAACTAGCCAAAATGAACACTTATTACTATATAATAATGAAAACAACAAACATTTATATAGCATTTGAGAGTGTCGGGCATTGTTCTAAATAATTCTTATTAAATGAATGCCACCTTCTAACCTCAGAGAGATTCCAAAATTGATACTGAAAATGCAGAAAACACAACGCAGACAAACCAACATACTCTCATCTATTATGCCTGGACTTTGAGAGGTTCAAAGACAGAGGGTTCCTCATTATCCTTCTGGATGGAGGAAATAAATGTTATGTGCCTATTAAAACAAAAGTGGTATCATTAGGGTGGTAATTACAGAGCCAATTTATCTGTGTATAGGAGTAGATGGATGTCATAATTAATGAATTACCACCAGTGCTGACAGAGCTGGTGCATTGCGTAACATTCTTTGATGGCACCAGCATGATGCCAACTGCTGGAGAACACAGCTCCATGGGAACCTGGGTCCTATTTGCTATACAGACTCACTATTCATTACCTGCAAATCACTTAACTGTTATGTCCATGCCTTTTTTGTGCAGCAAGTTTGATGATAATCATCTCCTACTCAACTGGACAGATGACAATGGCAATATGAGGTGTTTTTTTTTTTTAAATCCAAATTCCAAGCCTATGCTCTTGACATCAGTAGGAATTGGGAGTTCCTGAGGTTTCTCACTCCTCAAGTTCCCAGAAAGTGATCACCCTTAACCAAAGAAAACAACCTACTTGAGGCATGGTTGGTGACAATTGTAATGATGATGATTAAAATAACAATAATCGCAGCAACAACATGTGTCAAGTATGTGCCAATCACTGATAAGAGCCTCACATGATTATTTCATTTGATACTCGCAAAACCTACACTATAGAAACTGTTGTTACATCCATATTCCAGATGAGAAAACAAAAGCCTGAGAGCACACGACTAGAGACTAGACATGTCAGAATTCCAATCTATGTATGCTGACACATATGCTACAGTCCATCCAGAGTATCAGACAAGAGGATGGGAACTTGACCCTGTGTCTTGACCCTGGGCTACATGTGAACTAACCTTACTGCATGTCTGAGCAGAGAATCATAGGAAACCAAAAAAATACAGTGGCTTAGAGCAGTAAATGTATGTATATATGCATGTATTTACATTGTCCATGGTGTCAAAAATAATATCCCACAACCCATACACATTAAACCACAATGCCAGAACCAGAGAATGATCAGGAATTATTTCAGAAAGTAGGGTATTTTAATGCACATATAGCTTACCAGCTTTCTTTTTCTTTAACACAGGCTTTTTTTTTTTTTTTTTTTTTTTTTTTGACAGGCAGAGTGGACAGTGAGAGAGAGACAGAGAGAAAGGTCTTCCTTTACCTTGGTTCACCTTTCAATGGCCGCTGCGGCAGGCGCACTGCGCTGATCCGAAGCCAGGAGCCAGGTGCTTCTCCTGGTCTCCCATGCGGGTGCAGGGCCCAAGCACCTGAGCCATCCTCCACTGCACTCCTGGGCCACAGCAGAGAGCTGGACTGGAAGAGGGGCAACCGGGACAGAATCTGGCGCCCCGACCGGGACTAGAACCCTGTGTGCTGGAGCCGCAGGTGGAGGATTAGCCTCTTGAGCCGTGGCGCCGGCCAACACAGGCTCTTTAGAGCAGTTTTAGTCCTGCAGCAAAATAGCATGAAGTACAGTGAGTTCTCAAATACCTCCAACCTCCCCACTATCAACATAATTGTTAGAAGAGCCTGGGAATTAGTGGAATTTGTTGCAGTTGATAAACTTATAACCCATTATTGCCCAAAGTCCATAATAATCTACAATAGGATTCACTATTGGTGTTGTATGTTCTGTAAATCTGGACAAATTTTTGGCATGTATCTGTCATTATAGTGTCAT